ATCAAACCTAGTGTTGTACCAGCCCAATGCCACACATGATACTGGGAGTGATAGTTGTTACGATACCCCTGGGATAAAAAGGGTTAAAACCGTGTAAAATGCTCCTTTCCCGAATATGAAGGCAACTACCGATCACAACAATCAGCCGAACAGGAACCATACGAATCATACACTCTCCAAATATCCGAACGAGAATCACCATATGAATAAATCCTCCGAAGACAGAGGCTAAACTCCATTTTATACAGAGTAATGAAACTACATAAAAATACATAATACAAAAACTATAATACAAAAACTACCGAACGCAATAGATACGTTCAACACATCCCCAGATAGCTTGGATCTGAGGGCACATTATTACCGAATGGCGCTCAGATCCTATACCCACACTGTTCAATCGCCATGGAGCCAAAGTCTTTCACATAGTCTTTAGTTATACGAATGGGCTCCATGGTACAGCAATCTGGGATAAGTCTATTCGTGAAAAGAAACTACCCAAAGGTATGTCCAACATGGCCGCCACCTTGTGGTCGGCATACGAACGACCACCCAGTCGGCGTTTGACAATTAGGAAGTGTCTGCGGTTAACCACAATGTTCTAATGAGGCCAAAAGGTTAACCAGCAGCACACTTCCATGCTGGGTGGCCGGCCGTTCGGTGAATTGTTCGGTATAAAAGAAACAAGCGTTTGGGGCTGAATGGACAGGGAAATAGCCGAAGAAACAGACGAATGAGGGAACAATAAAAGTATTTCACAGGCAGTTGGTTCTGTCACAATAGCATACACATTCATACCTCCCTATAGAACCCCCACTAATAAGTGGTCTTTTAGTGAAGAACAGACCTGATCTCACAGTTTTCTATTTAGAAGAAAATACATTCTGGTTCCACCTGGCTGACTAGAGCAACTAAAGTGGATAACATTTATGTTTTTCAGACATTTCACAGATATTGTCAAGACTTTCCCAATAGTTGAATAAAATAAAAATTAAAACATGTAGATGTGTCTCTAACTGCAGAGAAAGAACCTGACCATGTCTCAGGACATTTTATATTTGATAATATCACCACATAAATTATCCTATTACTAGTACTACTACTACTACTAATAATAATAATCTCATATTTTATTAACCGTAGCATATGTATTTTCTGATTGAGGTGTTTTAACAGCAGCATAGAGGACTTGGGGTTCCTTCTCAAGTTGGGTTTTTCTCTTTAATTTTTCATCGTTACTTGGTGGCATATTTAATTGGGCATACAGAACCCCTCCAGCATCCTGCATGGATACAACAAGAGGAAGGTGAAACAAAAGAAAGAGAGCCATAGTGCAGAAAGGATGAAAACCATCAGAAACATGATAGAGAAAAAATTAGAATAAACAACAACAGCACACAAGAGACTAAAAGACAGGATAAAGACAAATACAAAAGGAGAGAGATAAAAAAAGCAGGTAGAGAGGACAAAAGAGCAGAGGAGATTTGAGATGATAATTAAAACATGTTTGGATATGGAAAGAGAAAAGGGAAGAGAAAATAAAAATGTGGAAGTAACCCGAGGAAGAAGAAGAACATGTTTATATAATAAAGGAGTGAAAGAGAGGTAGTTAAGAGATAAACAAGATATTAGATGAAATAAGGAAAAAAAGAGAATAATGATTACATTTATCACCACTTTTCCAGTTTCCGCATGTGAATTGTTCTCATAAGCCGATTCTGGATTAAAAATTGATAAAAATCATCATTAACTATACAATAAGTTTAACTCTGGAACGCCCATTCAATCTGTAGTAATATTAAATCAACAGCTATACACGACCTTGTCATCTCTAGCTCACTCACAATACTGGCACTCACTGAGACCTGGGCGTCCACCTCTTATACCGCTACTCCCGCTTCTTTATGTTTCGGTGGACTACAATTCTCCCACACTCCCAGACTCAACTATTATTAGGCATCCTTCTCTCCCCTCAATGTACCTTTCAACCTATCCTCCCTGCCCCTGCCCTTTACTTTAATTCCTATGAAGTTCACACTGTCCGCCTTTTTAAGCCCAATCCTTGAAGAATTGCCATCATCTATTGCCCCCCGGTCATCCTAGACTATTCATTGAACACTTTTCTTCCTGGCTACCCCACTTTCTCTCCACTAGCACTCCCCCCCCTCATACTCTTATCTCTCCCAACGCTCATTCAGTGTCTCCTTTTCCAAGGATACCTCCTCCCCTAGTCCTGTCTTGGTTGGAGTTCCCCAAGGCTCTGTCTAAGGTCCCCTTCTATTTTCGCTTTATACTGCCTCTTTGGCAAACTTATTGCCTCTTTTGGATTCCACTACCACCTGAACGCTGATGACACCCAAATATATCTCTCCTCCCTGGATCTCTCCCCTGCCGTCCTGCAACGTGTCACTGCCTGCCTTTCTTTCATCTCTGACTGGATGTCCTCGCGCGTTCTGAAACTCAATCTCTCCAAAACTGAACTCCTTGTCTTCCTCCTCCTAATACTGATCATCATCTTTAGCTCTCACTTCAAGTCAGTGGTATCCACATAAGTCCATCCTTGCAAGCACGCTGTCTTGGCATCGTACTTGACTCTGGCCTCACCTTTGAGCCTCACATCCAGTTTGTTGCCAAATCCTGTAGATTCCAACTTAAAAACATAGCCCGCATCCGCCCCTTTCTTACACAAGATGCTACCAAGGAGCTTGTCCATGCTCTAGTAATTTCCTGCCGTGTCACCCCACTACAGTTTGTAATGAATGCTACCGTAAGACTGATTTTCCTCTCTAGTCGGTCCTCTCAGACCTCACCCCTCTATCAGTCCTTACATTGGCTTCCTGAATCCTATAAGAGTAGATGCAAAGTGCTAACCCATACATATAAAGCACTGAACAATTCTAGCCCCTCTTATATCTCTTCACAGATTCATAGGTATGCCCGTCCTCGTTCTCTCCACTCTGCCCCTGACCACCTCCTGAGTGCTGCTCGCACCCGTACGGCCAACTCGCGCTTGCAGGACTTCTCGCGGGCGGCTCCCTTCCTATGGAATAGCCTGCCTACCCTCATCAGACTCTCCCCTAGTCTTCAATCCTTTAAAAAGTGCCTTAAAACCCATTTCTTCAGGAAAGCTTATGGCCTCCCAGAGTAACCTCTACCTTACACACCTGTCTCTTATAGGGCAGCACTTTACTCTCCTCCAGCTCTGCTTCACTCCCACCTTATTTGATTGATATTCCTGTCCTAATGTGTTTTATACCCCACCTACTATAGACTGTAAGCTCATTTGAGCAGGGTCCTCTTCAACCTATTGTTTCTGTAAGTTTTCTTGTAATTTATAGTTACATCCCCCCCTCTCATAATATTGTAAAGGGCTACGGAACCTGCTGGCGCTATATAAATGGCAATAATAATAATAATAATAATAATACTTCGGGACCTTAACATCCTAATCAACAACCTCAACTGCCCTGATGCCCCCGGTCTGCTCTCTGTAACCTCCTCCTTTGGCCTTGCGCAGTTGTCTACTTCAGCAACTCATACAGCAGGAAATACTCTCATCTTCACCAAATACCCTCATCTTCACCAATCTCTGTACCACCTCTAATCTCTCCACTGTTCCATTTCCTTTGACCACCATCTGCTGACATTTGCCATCAGCATACCCTGTGCCCACAGAAACCTCAACTGCCTTGATCTCCAGCATTTCTCCACCAAACTCCAAACTCTCCTTTTACCCATCTCAAATCCAGCTTTCCCTAACTCTGCAACCTCACTCTAAAACTCAACTCTCTTCTCTCAACTCGAAATCATGGCACCTACTACAATTAAACACAGCAAGCGCCCCCAATTGCAACCCTTGCACACTAAGCTGACCCATAACCTCGCAGTGGTGGGCTGCATACATCTTGGCCATTTATGTATGTCTAAATCTCCAATGTATTACTTACTTTTGTCTCCTCTTGTTTTGCCTTATATCGTTTGTCTTATTTTGTATTCCCAATCCATGTACAGTCCTGCCCCTGTTCTGTTAATGTTTCCCTTATGTATTGTGTACATGTTCTGGGTTCAGCTTTCTATCCTTCTTCGTTTCTGTTAGTTTTGCCTTGTTTTCTTGTTTGGTGCCTATTCTAGTCTTACCTTGTTTCTAGAACTGGATACATATCAGTAATTCATCTGCTCTGCCTTCCACTAAAGTTCCATCAGAGTTCTAGTTGGTGGCTGCTCAAACACTCAACAACAGGGGGCGTGTGGTTACCCTGCACCAGGCCATACTTATCCACTTCCATGCTGAAGGCTCCGCTAATCTTCTACATCAGGCACAGGGGTCCCGGTCTTTGGACCGCCACCCTGCCACAAGATCCTCGAGAGAGTTGTGTATACCAGAATGACTGACTCTCGAATCCAACTCTCTCCTTGACTGCCTTCAGTCTGGATTTCGCGCTGGTCATTCTGTCGAAACGACTGACCAAAATATCCAACAATTTAATTGCTGGTAAATCTCGCGGCCATTACTCTATCCTAATTCTCCTTGATCTTTCTGCTGCCTTTGACACTGTTGATCATCAACAACTTCTTCGCATTCTCCGTAATTTTGGTCTACGGGATACTGCTCTCTCCTGGTGCTCCTCCTACCGCTCTTTCAGTGTTTCTTTCTCTGACTCTGACTCTTCTCCCCAACCACTCTCTGTTGGCATCCTCCAAGGTTCTGCCCTTGGTCCCCTACTGTTATCTATCTATACTGCCTCCATTGGTAAACTCATCTGCTCCTTTGGCTTCCGTTATGATTTCTATGCAGATGACACGCAAATCTACCTGTCCTCTCCTGATCTCTCTCCACCCATCGTGACTCGTTTCTCTGACTGCCTCTCTGCGATTTCCAACTGGATGGCTGCTCACTTCCTTAAACTCAACTGTCCAAAACAGAACTTCTGGTCCTTCCTCCCTCGAGTGTTAGTACTCCCGTGCCTGCCTCCCTCCAAGTCAACGGTGCTACCATCACCTCTACCTCACAGGCTCGCTGCCTGGGTGTTCTTTTTTACTCCAACCTCTCCTTCACCCCTCATGTCCAATCAATCGCCAAATCCTGTTGCTTCCATCTCCAAAACATAGCACGCATCCGCCCCTATTTAACACCAGATGCGGTTAAGGTGCTGGTCCATGCTGTCGTTCTCTCTCGCCTTGACTACTGCAATACACTTCTCAATGGTTTGACGTGGTTCCAGATTGCACCGCTGCAATCTATAATGAATGCGGAGGCGAGGCTCATTTTCCTGTCCCCTTGCACCTACCACGCCTACCCGCTCTGTCAGTCCCTGCAATGGCTTCCAGTTAGATATAGTGCTCAATTTAAAATTCTGGTGCTTGCTTACAAGTTCCTACATAATGCTGTTCCAACCTACCTATCCTCCCTAATACATGTAACTGTAATGTATGTCCCGTCGAGGCCCCTACGATCTGCCAAAAACCTACGTATATCCTCTGTCCGTAATCCCACCTCTAATGCTCGCCTCCAAGATTTCTCCAGGGCTGCACCTCTTCTGTGGAACTCCCTTTGCTTTGCCATAAGACTTACACACAGTCTCCACTCATTCAAAAAAATCATTGAAAATTCACTTCTTCAAGAAAGCATATCAATGAAACTGTGTGCAGGTTTTTATCCCCAATCCCCCATGACTCTTCTCCTGCAACCTTCAAAAATTACCTACTAAGCACTCAGTGAATACTTTTCTAACAACCTACTTCGTACCCTTATTTTTACCCTTTGTGTCACTATACCTAACTCCCTATAGAATGTAAGCTCATTGAGGGCCCTCCGCCTCTCTGTTCCTGTGCGTACAGTTGTCTGGTTACAATTACATGTCTGTTAGTCCACCCATTGTACAGCGCTATGGAATCTGATGGCGCTATATAAATAATAAAATAATAATAATAAATGTTCATAGTTATAATAAACTATTATTTCTACTATACCATTGTTGAAATGCGCCTCGGTCTCAGGATGGTGTGTGGTAAGGTGATTACCATCATCCCTGTAGGTAAAACAAATATCTATATTATAATTTATATGATCAACATCAAAATGGGCACATACACACATATTTATGCACTTACAAAGACACATACAATGTATGTGCATTTAATGTTGATAACAGAGGGGGGCCTAGTGTTACACTAGCACCCATAGATGGTGGATTAGAGTTCTAAATAATTTTAGAAAGGAGGTGAACTTGCCATTTCCCATGTCCCCCGTGTGTTCTTAAGTGTTCCCCTTGTGGCTAGGGCTATCCATGCCCCTAGCCAACCCACACCACAATAAAAAAATACCTAATCCCTCACCCTAATAAAAGTAAGGAAGTCGAATAAATCTAAATATCTGTTACAAAAAGTCAGTATTTGTCCTTAAGTGTTCCCCAAGGAGTCCCAAAGCTCCCTACATACAATTAGATGTCCTATTTCTTTTAAAACATCTTTTCTTCAGCCTCAATGAAGGCCAAATAAAATTCTATTAAATGATGACACAACTTAAAATAAAAAATTAAACAGGATTACAAAAAAGACAGAAAATATAAAAACTACTACACAAAAAAATAACTCTTTGGGGTTAGATTAAGTAGTGTGAGAGATAGCTGTGTATATTATATAGAGAGGAGCAGAGTGAGAGATAGCTGTGTATATTATATAGAGAGGAGCAGAGTGAGAGATAGCTGTGTATATTATATAGAGAGGAGCAGAGTGAGAGATAGCTGTGTATATTATATAGAGAGGAGCAGAGTGAGAGATAGCTGTGTATATTATATAGAGAGGAGCAGAGTGAGAGATAGCTGTGTATATTATAGAGAGAGGAGCAGAGTGAGAGATAGCTGTGTATATTATATAGAGAGTAGCACAGTGAGAGATAGCTGTGTATATTATATAGAGAGGAGCAGGGTGAGAGATAGCTGTGTATATTATATAGAGAGTAGCAGTCAGAGATAGCTGTGTATATTATATAGAGAGGAGCAGAGTGAGAGATAGCTGTGTATATTATATAGAGAGAGGCAGAGTGAGAGATAGCTGTGTATATTATATAGTTATATATGGGAGGAGTAGAGTGAGAGATAGCTGTGTATATTATATAGTTATGTAGGAGAGGAGTAGAGTGAGAGATAGCTGTGTATATTATATAGTTATATATGGGAGGAGTAGAGTGAGAGATAGCTGTTTATATTATATAGTTATGTAGGAGAGGAGTAGAGTGAGAGATAGCTGTGCCTGATATATAGTTATGTAGGAGAGGAGTAGAGTGAGAGATAGCTGTGTATATTATATAGTTATGTAGGAGAGGAGTAGAGTGAGAGATAGCTGTGTATATTATATAGTTATGTAGGAGAGGAGTAGAGTGAGAGGTAGCTGTGTATATTATATAGTTATGTAGGAGAGGAGTAGAGTGAGAGGTAGCTGTGTATATTATATAGTTATATATGGGAGGAGTAGAGTGAGAGGTAGCTGTGTATATTATATAGTTATGTAGGAGAGGAGTAGAGTGAGAGATAGCTGTGCCTGTTATATAGTTATGTAGGAGAGGAGTAGAGTGAGAGATAGCTGTGTATATTATAGCTAGTTAGGAGTAGAGTAGGAGAGGTAGTAGAGTGAGAGGTAGCTGTGTATATTATATAGTTATATATGGGAGGAGTAGAGTGAGAGGTAGCTGTGTATATTATATAGTTATATATGGGAGGAGTAGAGTGAGAGATAGCTGTGCCTGTTATATAGTTATATAGGAGAGGAGTAGAGTGAGAGGTAGCTGTGTATATTATAGAGTTATGTAGGAGAGGAGTAGAGTGAGAGGTAGCTGTGTATATTATATAGTTATGTAGGAGAGGAGTAGAGTGAGAGGTAGCTGTGTATATTATATAGTTATGTAGGAGAGGTGTAGAGTGAGAGATAGCTGTGTATATTATATAGTTATGTAGGAGAGGAGTAGAGTGAGAGGTAGCTGTGTATATTATATAGTTATGTAGGAGAGGAGTAGAGAGAGGTAGCTGTGTATATTATATAGTTATATAGGAGAGGAGTAGAGTGAGAGGTAGCTGTGTATATTATATAGTTATGTAGGAGAGGAGTAGAGAGAGGTAGCTGTGTATATTATATAGTTATATAGGAGAGGAGTAGAGTGAGAGGTAGCTGTGAATATTATATAGTTATGTAGGAGAGGAGTAGAGAGAGGTAGCTGTGTATATTATATAGTTATGTAGGAGAGGAGTCGAGTGAGAGATAGCTGTGCATATTATATAGTTATGTAGGAGAGGAGTAGAGTGAGAGGTAGCTGTGTATATTATATATAGTTATGTAGGAGAGGAGTAGAGAGAGGTAGCTGTGTATATTATATAGTTATATAGGAGAGGAGTAGAGTGAGAGGTAGCTGTGTATATTATATAGTTATATATGGGAGGAGTAGAGTGAGAGGTAGCTGTGTATATTATATATAGTTATGTAGGAGAGGAGTAGAGAGAGGTAGCTGTGTATATTATATAATTATGTAGGAGAGGAGTAGAGAGAGGTAGCTGTGTATATTATATAGTTATATATGGGAGGAGTAGAGTGAGAGGTAGCTGTGTATATTATATATAGTTATGTAGGAGAGGAGAGAGAGAGGTAGCTGTATATTATATAATGTAGGAGAGGAGTCGAGTGAGAGATAGCTGTGCATATTATATAGTTATGTAGGAGAGGAGTAGAGTGAGAGGTAGCTGTGTATATTATATATAGTTATGTAGGAGAGGAGTAGAGAGAGGTAGCTGTGTATATTATATAGTTATATAGGAGAGGAGTAGAGTGAGAGGTAGCTGTGTATATTATATAGTTATATATGGGAGGAGTAGAGTGAGAGGTAGCTGTGTATATTATATATAGTTATGTAGGAGAGGAGTAGAGAGAGGTAGCTGTGTATATTATATAATTATGTAGGAGAGGAGTAGAGAGAGGTAGCTGTGTATATTATATAGTTATATATGGGAGGAGTAGAGTGAGAGGTAGCTGTGTATATTATATAATTATGTAGGAGAGGAGTAGAGTGAGAGATAGCTGTGTATATTATATAGTTATGTAGGAGAGGAGTAGAGTGAGAGGTAGCTGTGCCTATTATATAGTTATATATGGGAGGATTAGAGTGAGAGGTAGCTGTTTATATTATATAGCAAGGAGCACAGTGAGAGATAACTGTGTGTCATAAAATAAAAGCACAAAACAGAAATGAGTGGAGATGAATACTAACTGAATATATTAAAACTAGATATGGATACTCACATAGTTTTGGATTTCTTACATATTTTACCTGGGGAAAAAAAAAAAGCAAATGCATTAGTTATCCATTCAAATACCTCCCAACTTGCCTGTGTGAATATATATATATATATATATATATATATTTTAATTAATTATTTCATGACGTAGATAAATACATGGAACATATATGTATTTTCAATAAAACAACCAGTTTGATAACTAACTTAAAAATTACTTGACCGGTGTATAGTTGCCATATGGGCAATCGGAGCCTTGGACAACACCCCCACATACCTTTCCCAATAAAACACGGACACTAGGGTATATGGGTCAAAATAGTCCACAGCTTTTATTAAACAGTAATAATAATAATAATACATAGAAAAACATGGGTCATTGCCCCCTGTCCCTGCCCTCACATCCGTATCCTTCTGTTAAATATCAAAGGGCAATGACCCCAATATAAATAACATAAATATATATATATATCATACTTCCAATATTATTCAAACTTGAACATAACTTAAAGTGCAAAACATAAATTAACCATGGCAGCTCCACCAGGTTCTGAGCCACCGACAGGACTTGAAACCTACCAACTTACCAAGAACCACAATTTGCCAATTCCATCCTCTTCCTATTTCCTAGCTCCCCATCCTGCTGCTGTGACTAAACAGGACCACTTACCTAAAACCCAAAAAACTCAGGGAGGGTGTGTGGGACAAGCTCAGCCAGGTAGGTAAAAAAAAAACTGACTGTTTCCAAGATGGCTGCCTATTTAAATGGTCAAACCCCTTCCCACAAAACACCAGTCCCTGCTTGCTTCCTCCTAAGCCCGCCTCCTAACCCCTGTCAAGGCCCTTTTCCGCTAAGCTGCGCTTTTGCTACATGGGGGCTACATGAGCAACTCACTGTCAAAAAATGACAACAGACGTGACAACTCGTGGAGCCTTTAGCCCAGTAAACATTATTGCAGCATTTACTGAGGTCAATAATGAAGTAGAGGCAGTGGCGGAACTACTGCGGTTGGAGGGGTTACAGGGGTTGCAGCTGCGACCAGGCCCGTCACTCCAGGGGGCCCGGCCTCCCTGTGGCTCCCTGCGACTGCGGATCCTGCCAGGTAAGTAATGCAGCCCGGCCCGCGCAGTATAACAGCTGGGGCCGCATTAAAGGG